AAACTGTTATTGATTTTAGAACTAATTATTCATTAATAATCTTAGAATATTGCAAAAATGTTACAAGAACATTGTAAAAATATTATTGAATTATGATTGAATTTATAACTGATATATCAATTATATTATTTAAAATCATATATTTCCTAAAGATCAATTGATTGATCAAATTTTTTATGATCAAAAAATTATGAAATTAAAGAAATTTATATTACTATGATAACATTATTAGAATAAGAATTATTTTTTAATAAATTAATAAAAAAGTATAATAAATAAAAAATTATTTAATAATATATATATATATTAACTATATAAAATATATTAAATAAATTAGAAAGTATAATCTAATAAAAAATAATAATATAAAATAAATTTATAAATAAAATATTAAATAAATATTTAATAAATTAAAAGAGTTAATAATTATAGAAATAATAATTATTTTAAATTATATAAAATTAATAATAATTATTTTAGATTATATAAAATTATTATAAATTTGTATTAATTAAAAATATTATTATAATTAACTATAACTTGCATAGTTAATTAAAAAATTATAATTTAATTATAATAGCTAATTAAAAAATTATAATTAAGTTATAATTAATTATAATTTTATTTTTAATATTAATATAAATAATATTATAATAAATATAATATTAATATAAAATAAAAAATTAATTAAAAAATTCTTAGTTATATAAATTAAGAATAATTAATTAATAATAAAAAAATATTTATTTTAAGTCTTATTATTAAAAAAATTTAATTATTATCTTATATTATATAATAATAAAATTAATAATTAAATTTATTCAAATAATGAATTATTAATAAGAATATTAAATAAAAAAATAAAGAATTAATAAATTTAATAATTTTTATAAATCTTTTACAAGATTAAATATATATAAAAGAAATAAAAATATTTTTAATAAATAAACTTAATCAAAAATATAAAACTAATAAAATTAAAAAGTAAAAATTAATAATAAATTATGAAATAAAAAGAAATAATAAAATATTTTATTAAATAAAATAATATAATATAAATAATTAAAAAATAAATCAGAATTTTAGATTTTTTTACTTATACTTTCTTAATATTATTTATTATACTTTTTAAAAATAAAATTCAAAATTATAAAAATATTTTAATATAAATTATTATATATAATTTAGTATAAATTATTTTTGATATTATAAATAATATAGTTTTAATAAATAAAATTATAAAAATTATAATTTTAATTAGTTTAATTATTAAATAACTAAAATTAAAATTTTTTTAAATAATTTTAATAAGTATTTATATTAGTTATAATTTTAAAAAAAATATTATTCTTATAAATAAATTAATCTTTAATTATTTTAACTTAAAGATATTTATCTTTAATTATGTGAGTTTTTATTATAATATCTTTTTATTATAATAAAAAAGCTTATTATTCTTATCTTATTAATAGATAATTTAATAATTATGAGATTGTTATAATTTAAATCATTTATTTTTCTAGATACTTCATTAAATTTAATATGATTTTTTATATTAAAAAAAATTTGCAAATTTAAATAAATAAATTAATTCTTATATATTAATAATAATAATTTCTTTTTACTTAATTTAAAAAATAAAAAGAATATAATTATATTAAATTTAAAAAATAATTAAATATTTTTTATTATCTTTTTTAAAAAATCTGAAATTAATAAGTAAGATAAAAGTAAAAGAGAATTATTTATTCATAATTATCATAATTTAACTAATTAATTCTTTTAAGTTATTATAAGACTTACAAAAATAGAGTATAATTAATAAATTTGAATAAATATTAGGGTTAATTAAATAATTTAAGTCTTTACAAAATGATATTTGTGATACTAATAACTAAGATAATTACACTTGCTAATAATAAATAAAATTATCTCATAATTTAAAAAAATTCTAAGCTAGTTAGTTATCTTATCATTTGAACAAAATGCAAATCCAAATATATTGCATATGACTTAAGAAAGTCAATATGTTAAGATAACATGACCTATTAGAATCTTGTAGTATGTTGAAATATATAACAAACAAGCGATTATAATTCATTTTTTTTATAATTGTAATTAGAATTATAACTCACAATCAGAAACAGACGTTTTTAATTCTAATAAGCTATTTTAATGAAACTTTTCACATTAAAGCAGAATAATCGATAATAAACGAGAATGTTTGTTTTGAACAAAAAAGTAAAAATTTGCATACAAGCATACGATTAGTAAATTAATTATAAGTATATTTATAATACGGAAAATGAATCATTTCGCTGTTATTCAGTCAAACCATATTTTTTCAAATTATTTTGTTGTTAAGTATTTTAATTCATACAGTTATGGACATATGTATTTGTTTGATCAAGCTTACATTTTAGTTTATTGTTTACTCAATGTCGCTCCACGAATCCTTATTATCCTATTATTATAATTGATAGATCCAGTTAATGATATGACAAATAATAAACAAGAAAAATAATAAATACATTAATTTCTTCTTCATTCTCATCTTCAAGAACAGATCGCCAAACTAAAATATTATGATCACTATCACCAGAATATAATTCCTATAAGATTAAATTTAAACAAAATTTTATCTCAACTTTAAATAACATGATAAAAACGCACGCATTTCTTACATGTTTATTTGATCTCCACACAACACAATTGACTCTTGTCATAGAACCTTGCAGCTGTTTGATTAATCTTCCATTGTATAAATCCAGTACAAAAATTTGTGAGCGACTTGTTGGGTGAAATATTAACGGGGGAGAACAATCAGCCGAGGGTGTCACTGCTAATGGCAAAGAAAGATTTGTTGTATTTGGAATATTTGGGTAATCCACCTGGAAAGAAAAAAAAATTAGCAAAATTACTTATTAAGCATCATGAGAAGCTTTTTCAACCACGGACCATAGCGTTCCTTCCTGTGTATACATCCCATAAGCGTACAGTTCGATCATGTCCACTGGAAAGTAACTGCGTTCCGTCTGAAGTGAAACATAATCCATTTGCTCCACCGTTATGTGCTTTATTTGTTGCAGATGAAGGTTCACCTATCAACCAATACAAGGATCAATTATAAATAAATTTTGTATTAAACTTGAGAATTTTATGTTGATTCATATCAACAGTATATAAGTTATTTTCACCTTTATTTAAATAATCCAACGAAATTAAAGATTGATTTGCTCTTCGGATATCCCATATTCTAATAGTGCCATCAGCACTTCAAGTGGAAGCAATTATTATTCAATAAGAGAATAGCACGACGTTAATAAAAAAAGGTTTGATGCTTAGATTGTTACCTTGCTGAAACTAGCATATATTCGAATATTGGTGACCATTCGACACGAAAAACCATATTTTTATGACCTTATATGCCCATAAGATTTATTAATACATTATTTTATTTTAAAAACAGTGTTACCGAAGACATATACCTATCAATGATTGTAGTGCCAAACCCGTGCGGGTATCACATAATCGTATATTTGGATGTGCTAATGCAGCTGTTATTTATATAAATACGTTAATTGTGAATAGCAGATCGAATTCATATTCAACTCTGACGAACCTGCTATTAGTCCATGATTAGCGACTGAAGAAATTGCAAGCGAATAAACATGAGCATCGAAAGTAAACGTAAACACATTCTAAAAATAAAAATAAGCTATGACCAAAGATAATATATACGCACACTATAATTTTCAACATACCTTTATCGATTTCCCTTTCATTGATTCTATGTTCCATATTTTGATTGTTTCATCCATCGAGGAACTGATAAAGTATTCATAATTATTTGGATCCCATTTTATACATGTAACAGAGTAATCATGACCTTTTTTTCTTTATAATTCAATGAGATTAAATTATGTTCGATGCTTCTGAAAAACACGAATTCTTTTATTCCTTACTTTCTTATTACAGCTGTTGATCTAATAGATTTGTTATTTGGATTATTCTCAAGATCATATAAGCGTATCTCAGAGTCTGCACCACCAGAAAGTAAACTAATGTACATACAAAATAATGTAACATTTAACATATCGGAAAGAAAGAATCCAGTAAAACGAGAAAGCTATTCTTTACAAAAGAATTCACATATAAGAAACATCTAATCTTTTCAAGAGTACCACTATCTTCCTTCGACATAATCAATATCCAAAGTGTTGATAGGAGCATAATGCTCTTGTGCAAATGCCTTTTTCGTGCATGAAGCGATAGAATAAGTTCGTCTAGTGTTTTCCCAAAGTTGAAGATTTCTTGGTCGATAAAGACCAAGTTCTCTTGCAAGCAAAAAGTCGTTTAACGAGTTGGTGTGCATTTCAAAAGTTTGTAGTGCTATCTATCTATTTTAGGCAGCATTATAGTCGATTGACGATCCGAAATATTTACCATTTTTGCAAAAGATGGTTTTCGAAGCAATTCGCATTTGGTTAATAAATGCAATAAACTGGCTATTTCGTTCAAATGCAAGGCGCCTACAAGATTCTAAAAATGAAGAGGGGTCTAAAGAGCCTAATGTTGCCCGACATGTTCCCGACGAAAAGCCCGTATCCCTGTCACGGTGAGTTTGAAATTTGTACTCTATATAATTCTTTGACGAAAGCTACTTACACGTTTGTTTAAAAAAAGGGTCACCATGACAGAAATAGTGTTACCGTCTCATGCCGACACGCGTGGTTTTGTGTTCGGTGGTGTCGTCCTCGGCTGGATAGATGTAGCGGCTGGAGCAGCGGCAAAAAGACATGCTGTAAATCCTTGTGTAAAGTATCCAAGGCTATTTGAATCGATTATTATTTGGATTTCGTTACGTATACAGAGCATACATATATATAAAGTCGTTTAATTAAAAAAAGGGCAAAATCTTTTAGGTAACGAGAAGTGTTGACGCGGTACATTTCATGCATCCGATTAAAGTCGGAGACTTTCTTGTGATTCAAGCATCCGTGAATAGGGCTTGGAATACGTCTATGGAGGTATGATTGAGTGGTTAGATGGTAAGCTCGATGCTAACCGTAATTGATGTGGTGGATATTTTTGCTTTCATTTTCATTTTATAAGATGCGAGATCGTACTTATATAAAGAGGTTTTTTTTAAACCTTCAATCTTATTAGGTTGGAGTACGTGTTGAAACAGAAAATCCATTGACCGGAAAGAAAAAATACTGTTGTCATGGTAAAAGATTCGATAATAATAAAATAAATCGTATGAGCTTAAAAATTCTACATCTGACCTGTTTATGTGTAGCATATTTGACTTTCGTTGCTCTACGGGGTTCGCGAGCAAGTCAGACTCAACGACATTCAAACGCACCAGTTCGCGTACCTCGTATCATTACAACCACCGCCGTCGAAGCACAGCGTTTCGATATGGCTGAACAACGTCGTCAAGCACGTATCAATCAAAATGATTGTATTGACGAAAATGCGACTAAAATGGCAGAGTTTCGCGAGCATATGCGAAAATGGTCAAAAAACACAAATGTAGAAACGATGAGTGATGCTGAAATACCACCTCTTGTACCAGATCCAGATGATGCTCAAGAAAAGGATCCAGCTCGACTTTACCTTCGTCGTCGAAGATCCACGCTGACTAATGCTATTCAAGATCAACCCGATGGTAAACCAATTTACGATAGCTTTGCTGAAGTGGTGGAGACTGTTTTGCCACAACATGCGAATACATTGCAGGTTTGCTGTTTTTTATCTCCTCTATCATTTCAATGAAAAAAAGGGAGGGAAAAATATATAATATTTTCATATTATATAGATTACTTTTGGTGGTCAAATTATGCGGTGGATGGAGCAATGTAGTCTTATCAGTGCCACCAGACATGCCAGACGTTTCCTTTTGTTGGCTAGGTTAGATTTCTTCATTATCACCAAGTTCAACTACTTATTATTAATCTTTAAAAAATATCTCTCTAGTATCGACTCCCTCCAGTTTATCAGACCCACTTATGTTGGCGATTGTATCACAGTTCGAGCAATGGTCTCTTGTACATTTCACTCTAGTATGGAGGTTTATGTCACAGTGGAGGCTGGTTTGTTGCGTTTTCCATCATGCCTACAGTTATAGTGAGTTTGATATTGATCAGTTTTTTAATTATCTTTTATTGTCAGAAAATCTTATGACGGGCGAGACGTTTTTCACTAATGATGGATTTTACACGATGGGTGGGATTAATTCTACTAGTCTTATTAATACCAGATTTTATTCAAATTCATCATTAATTCTATATTATTTTTTCTTCCATCATAAAGTCGCTGTCGACCTAACAAACATACCAACACCTGTTCCACACGCCATAATAGATCAAGAAGAAGAGCGTGTGATATGTGATGGTGCTGTAAAGCGACGAAATAGGAGATTGCAACAGCGACGAGAGTTGGTACAGAAAGAGATGTCGTTGAGTCCTGACGAATTTCAAAAGGTAGCATATATAATTTTATTTCTTTCATATTTATCTTCAAATACCTAATTTATGTGTGTGCCGTTTAATTAATACATATATAGTTTTCGACATCACAGTCCATTGAGCAGGAATGATTATATTAAATTAGAAATGCATATATATATATTTATATATAAATTTAGAATGTATCTAATACATCTTTTATAGTATATTTAGTATATATCCGTTTATTATTTTATAGGAATTGTACATATTAACTTTATAATAAATAATAAATAAAAAAAAACTTTAAATAATCGAATAATAAAAAACAGGTTAGATTCCACAATTATATGAATTAATTATTCAATTAGCTCATATCCTCCAACATCTCGCCAACGAGCCCAAAGTCCACTAACGCCCAACAAAATCGCAATAACAAAACTCAAACCCATTGAGCTACTCGATAACGCAAAACTAAGATCAAATGTCTCATACTGAAATAAAGCAGAATTGTTCTTAAGGAAGTAAATTATTGTAATCGTGTTTGCTTGCAGAAAGGCTAAAAACAATTGCATTATCAGAATTAATATCACAAAATAAATTGGAGAGAGAGAGAGAGAGATAATATATATATATATTACCACTCAACGCAAACATCCCGGTAACCCACATCCAAGCCTTATCCTCTTCTTGCGATGAAGAGTCGCCTTTGATCAACACAATAAAGAGTAGATATAATAACGCGATCCCACCGATTATTGAACTGACAATCAAATCATATGTCGCGGCTTTCCATTCACTGCAGAAGCCTTCTTCGTCACAATCACCGTATTCTTCTGATGGGAACGGACGGCAGCCGTCTATTATTGTTGAACATTTCTTTCGTGAGGATTAAATAACATTAATTTTATTGATTTAATAAACCCCGAAAATTTATATAATCATACTCAAAGCGAAAATTTACCGTGAAAAGACCATAATTTGTAACTGACCAATGTGGTCTAGGACTTTCAAAGTATAGCCTAGCAACAATAGAAAAATGTATAGTTGAATGTTCCACCCGTTTACAAGGATAATATGCACACTTTCATTCCACCATAATAAAGTCAAATCCTTCCCAGCACTAAGAAAATATTTACCAGCGAGGTACGAATATAGAGACTATCGACAACGCAAAGGAGATCGTGAAAAGAGCGAAACTTATAACATAAACAATTTTTGGTGTCGGCATCTTTATCACTCGTATAAGAAGACTTGAGAAAATTTAAAGATCAACACCGAATGTGACCTTCATCAAAAATCTGGATTGGATAGAAATAAAATAAATTTAAACAATTCACGTACCAAAGTATCAAGATCAAAAGATGCAACAACATAAAAAAAACATTTACTTGACAGGTGAAGGTAGATTGTAAGTATCTTAAGGAAAAAGCCTACTCACATCTTATTAATAAATTATTTCTTTATTTTAATTACGTAAAATATCATATAATAGTCCTTGGTACAGGTATTTTTCGCATATTATTCATATCAATAATTAATAAACCGAGAATTAATTTATGTTTCATTCTTATTTAAGACCTGATGGAAAGTCTTTTGAACCTTATTTAATCGGTGTAGCAGGTTAATAAAAGTAATGACAATTCGTAGAGGATGGATCATGACAATTTCTCATATATAATCGATCACAATCAATATTAAATAATTAATTAGGTGGAAGTGCTAGTGGAAAAACCGCTGTCTCGGAGTAAGTATTGAATGTATTAATGTTTAATATTGAATGAATGATAAAAAAATATTGACCTTTATGTATTTTTAGACGAATAATAAAGAACCTCAATGCACCGTGGGTAGTTCTTTTAAGCATGGATTCATTTTATAAACCGTTGACCCCAGAGCAAAAAATTGCTGCATATAAAAAGTAACTTTTTTTATATCATGAGTATGTCGTTATTTTTATCATGTATATGCCAATTTTTTTTTTAATTTTTTCTTTCAAATTTCAGTGACCATAATTTCGATCATCCAAACTCATTTGATTATGATCTGTTATTGGAAACACTACAGAATTTAAAAGAAGGGTAAAAACGAAAGTTTCTGAAAGTGAAGTAGAAACTTTTGAGTAATATTTTATATCTTTAAATAGGAGGCGAGTTGAAATACCAATGTATGATTTCGTAACACATTCTCGGTAAGTCTTTACTATTATTAATCTTTAAAGGAGTAATTTATATATTTACTTATTTATTGACTAATTATTTAGCCTTCCAGAGCGTGTAACAGTATATGGTGCTAACGTGATTATCTTTGAGGGAATTTTTGCATTATTTGAGAAACGAATAATGGATCTGATGGAACTAAAAGTAATTTTCGTTTCATTATTTATAGTTGTTCATTATCTCCGTTTTTCTGAGTCTTATGATATACATATGTTGGTTTAGCTTTTTGTCGACACAGATGCAGATATTAGACTCGCTCGTAGATGTAATAATAAAATTCTCATTAAATAGGTTTTGTATTCTCGTTGCTTATTTTTCCTTTTATTTGTCTTCAAGTAAAGCGGGATATCAATGAACGAGGTCGTGATTTACATGGTGTTTTGCAGGTAACTTTAGCAAGCTTTCAAATTGACTATTACAACTTTACATAAATATTTAAACTTCTTAATATTATGATGATGGCATTAGCAATATACCCGATTCGTGAAACCATCTTATGATGATTTTATTCATCCTACTGTGAAAAATGCACATGTGGTAAGTATTAATTGATTTAAAAATGTGACGCATATAATAAATGAATAGACATCGTGACTGAATAGTATGATTATCAGTAGTAGTAATGGTAGTAGTAGTAATAATTATAATGATAATAATAATAGATCATCCCACGAGGCCTCGAGAACATTGTCGCGATTGATCTCATAACAAAACACATTCAGCGACAACTACATGAACGGAAACTTAGTTTTCGATGGGAACTAGCGAAAATCGAATGCAGTGCCGAGGTACCTGCAAATGTTATTTTACTTAAAGAGACTCCGCAGTTGAAGGTAAAGTAATATTTGTTTAATTTTTTTTTGAAGGATCTGTTTTTCTTGAATAGTTTAATTATGCTGTACAATCTGCCCTCGTTGTTATCGATCTCATGGACGAGAGTGGATAACAACGAGCACTTATATACACGCAAAATACAAACAGCTGATTGGTTATTGATATCAACGGGGTATATTATTATATTATTATAAAAAAGATTCTGATTCTATGTTTGTAACGATATCAATGGGTCAACAGGACTATATAAGGTTGATATTTATGAGGGAATTTTTAAATCAAAAAGTCCATCCTATGACTTATGTTGCTAACAACGGGATGGTGATATCAACGAGGCTGACTGTAAATATATTTTTGGTTTTGGAATTATTTATATATTTATATTTTTTATGTTGGAAAGGGCATTCATACGATAATTCGTGATCACACAACACAACGAGATGATTTTATATTTTATGCTGAGAGATTGGCTACTTTGGTGGTTGAACGGTAAATAATTAGTGACCAAAAGATCGCTTTTTTGATTAGAAATCTAATCTTTATTTTAAAATTCTAGTGGATTAGAAGAATTACCTTTTAAAAACGTAGAAGCCACGACTCCATTAAATATAAATTATTTGGGGAAACAACTTGATGCGCAGGTATCGATAATCTGTATAATAAAAATTTTATAAGTCAATGTCTCTCATGTCCTTGTGTGAGATGTTGCTTATTTAGGGTTAGGGTTAATGTTCGGGGGGGGGGAAACGGCGTTGCAAATCTTCATCTGAGACGCAACATGTATATATATCTCTCTTTCAATAACTTATTTTACATAAAAATAATATTAGCTTTGTGGTGTTTCCATTTTACGTGCTGGCGCAACGATGGAAAATGGTCTTCGGCGCGTTCATAAAGATGCATTAATCGGGAAAATTCTTATTCAGTCTAATCCGTCTACTGGAGAACCACAGGTGTGTGTATATACAAACTAAAGCAATAAATACAGATCCATTATAGTATTAAATATTAAATAACTAATTATGATATTATTGTCATTTGTTTCTGAAAAAGCTTCATTTTCTGAAGCTACCAAATAATATAAGCCGATGTTATGTTCTTTTAATGGTACGTCCAATGTTGTAACCTATCTTTTCTTGATTAATATGGTTACTGATTGATTATAAAATTTAGGATGCACAGATAGCTACCGGAGCTGCCGGTTTAATGGCCATTCGCGTCCTCTTGGATCATGACGTACCAGAGGTCTGTTTATGATACTATTCTTAGGTCACATCATCAAGAGATTTTATACATGACATACGTTTTATATTTCATTTATACGCAGGAACGAATCATTTTTCTGACATTCCTTGCATCACCTCAAGGACTCCACGCAATTGCTAACGCTTTTCCAAAAGTAAAAGTGTGTACCTCAATGGTCGACCCAAAGATCAATGAAAATACTTTGTATATAGAGCCAGGAATGGGAAACTTTGGAGGTAGGAACCATATTATTGATTGTCTTTTTTGTTCGTGATCTTGATTAAATTTGATTATCTATTTTATTTAGATCGATATTTTGGCACGGATTCTTGATTATTAAAATTATGCCATTATTCTTTTTATAACATTATTATTTATTTGTCAATTGTGAGAAAAATTACTGTACCGGTACTTTTTTAGAATAATTAAATCTAGTTTTTGAAATAAATGTCATGCAGTATGAATATACAAGTACGTATATTGATTACATTTAAGATATTAATATAATCAATATGATTTTTATGTTAATTAAATATATTGATATGGTGGGGACATAAGTAACTGTACCACTGTAAATCGTCACACAGTTACTAAAATTTTTGTGTAATAAACTATGTGTTTTTATTACTTCGTATTAGAAATTCCATCATCTCAAAGTTTGCCATAAAAATTGGCCCTTCCTCTTCACAAACACTATGAAATTGCATTTTTACATCATCACTCTCAAGAACCAAGACTGGCTTATGGTTCTATATCAAAGATAGTAAACTATAGTAAAATTACAGTAGCTTTTTGGATGAAGAAATAAACAGAAACTAAAGCTTTGTCTGATCTAAAAAAAAACTGGCCAAAAACATAAAATGATAATCAATCAAGACAAAAAAATTATAAAACATGTACAAAAAAAATGACTTGATAAGTTCCAAAATTCAACAAAAAATTGTAAAGGAAATTATAAATATTAATATATCAATCAGTTATCAAATTTGTCTCTTAATTTGACAAGTGTATTTAATTAAGAGATTAATAAAGATTTTCATGCTCAATTTCTATAGTTCTCAATATAAAATGATCATCAGAAGCCAACTTCACTTCTAAGCTAGTTCTCTAATGATATAAGATAATTTATCTTGCTTTGCTAAGTTGAACAAAGCTTGATGTTTATTTCTTATTAACTATCTTATTTTATTTATTTTAATACTAATAGTTTTAAAAGAATCTTAAGTCAAAGTA